GTATATATAATTCACTCTCACTATAATTGTAGCCAGGCGGATTCAATTTCTATTATAGGAAAGGTATTTGAACTTGAGATGATGATGAACGTACGTTAACTCTGGAGCTGTAGGGCAATGATGGGCTATATTATATAGCTAGGCATCATCATGATCTGCTTCCTGCCATGGCTTCCTGCGTTCTACATATGCTAGCCATTGCGGTCCTGGCTGTGGTTGGTTCTGGAATTTTTCCGTTTGTAGAGTAGAAACATGCAGCAGAAAGGTTGTTAAAGTTGTGGTACGTACGTTCTTATATATGCAAGTTCTTTGTTTGATGGGTTTACTTTACTTTGTTGCTGGTTACTGGTTAGTCGAAAATATATACTTCATCGAAAGATTAGCTAAAGTGCTAAACGTTTTGTTATGCATCAAAGTATTAACTTTCGGTTTGCGTTACTATTAATTATTTTTAATGGTAGTACTCCACGTCAGCTAACATGTCAGAAATCAATAAAAATTTTGTCTTATATGCTTTCTAACTTTTATTATTTTGAGCGGATGTAAGAGATATGGAGAAGATGCAGCTGCAGTTGCACGGCTAACAACGATTTTGTAGAATTGTTTCTTGGGTTTCAACATGCTCTCTTCCCTCTTCTCATTAAGTTTATATTAGATAATGGGTCCGAGCTTTGTGATTTGTTTACCTAAAAATGTATATGATAATTAGAAGTAAAGAACAGTTTTGTTCTAAATGAAGGTTAATGTTATTAGAGGACGAAATAAACTTTTCAAAGGTCGTTAATTTTTGGGATACGATTATAGTTCTCGCGATTGAATATTTTTTTTTCAAACTTTTGAGCACACGTTAGAAAATCTGTAATAACGAAATCAAATGGTGGTGGTTTTCAAATTCCAATTGAACCGAAGCTAATTATGATACTTAACATACAGTTAGTATCATGACTGATTTGGTTAGAACAAAGTCTACTGATGAAGTAGAACATGAAGTTCTCGCGTGAGGTCAGGTGAATAGTGGTTAGACTAATTTAGCTACTTTAATTCATTAGTAATGAATGTTACTTGGAAAATGGTTGGTTAGGGGCAGTGGCGGACCCAGAAAATTTATATAGGAGTGTCCCGTTCAAAAATTAAAATTAAAATTTAAAAAAAATATTAACAAAAATATATTTGGCTAATACAAATTACAACAAAAGTACATGACATGTTACTTACCATCTATAGTGCTCAACAAATCTCTTCGAATATATCTTACTCTACAATCATTCACGAACTGATCGCATATTTGATTCTAAAACTTGTTTTTTATGTGATCCAAAACTGAAATACTCTCTCAACACTTGGAGTTGTAATCGATAAAATCAATATAACTTCGAGGAGAATCAACTCAGCTAATTCATCGGATCATTTTCATCCACAAAATAATTCATCATTTTTAACACTGACAATAATTCTCAAAATCCTGTAGAAATAAAATAATTGGAAAAGTGATCAAAATCTCCAGGGTAAAATCATGTGTTATAATGCGGGTAAAATCCTGATGACAATCGTTTATGATTACATTTATGAAAACATTACAACAACGAATTAAGTGTAGTAAAATAGAAAAGATGTTCACTAATAACTATTGTATTATAAATTCGAATCACATATACTATCATTTTTTTTTATTCTCTCATACTCAAACTACTACCTGGGGTCAATGTAGTCAAAATCCCGATTTTAATCTTAAAATCTTACGATTTTACGATCTTACCTATGGGTTCCGATCCTGATTTTACTGTAAAATCTTTGAACCTTAAAATCCCATAAAATCCCGATTTAAAACTCTAAAATCCTTAAAATCTACGATTTCTACGATTTTGTACGATTTCAAGGTTCATATCAATTGGATCAAAATTAGGCCGGTCAAGGGGTTCTGCCCATGAACCGAGTCAAGTTAACTTCCCCCAACCCAACATAATGAACAACACAACCCCAACCCGATAGTTAACCCTTAATTTATTTTCATTCTCTTCCTCGTATCTTCCTCTTTCGCACGTCGGCGCCCAACTCCTTCAATCAACGATATTTTCCACCCTCCCAATTAGATTGTAGTTTGTTCCCCACCACCCTCACAATAATCCAAATCTCCATTACATTGCAAGCTTTTGTTCATCTCCCAATCCTTCAGCACCACTAACCCGACCTTTTATCAATTAAGAAGGGAATGCATCAATCAATGAGTTATCTTTGCCAGATGATGGTAATCAAGAAAATATGATTAATGGTGAAAGTACTTCAAATGATCATAAGAGTAATGATATTAGTCCTCAAACAAATAGACAACGATATTGAGAGTGAGGGTGAGGGTGAGGATGATGACGATGATGTGTAAGCGATGTTAAAGTTGATCCTAACGATCTTATGTGATGTTCTACTCTTAACAATTAATTAAGTGATATCTATAATGTTTCAGGTTGCTTATTTGTGTGTTTCTATTATGTACAAGAAAAATATATGGATTAGTTGTGTTTATTTAGCAAACAAACTTATATTGGGAAGTAATTATGCTTTATGTGGTTGATTGTTATTCAGGATATGCATTTTTATTACTATCTAGTGTTTTAAGTGTTTATTTTAATATGAACCTTAAAATCTTACGATTTTACGATTTTAATCTACGATTTCGATTCTACCTCAGTTTTCGATTTTACTTAAAATCTAGATTTTGACTGCATTGCCTGGGGTTGATTAATTTTTCTCTCAAATTTTAGGGATGTCTTGTAACACCCTGCCCTCCACCTAGGTCCGCCCCTGATTAGGGATGGCTAATTCATATAAAATTTGGGAGCAACTCATTATTTACAACTATTTCTCATTAACATGTAACAGATTGTATCCCAGTCGCGTTAACTTATATTTCAATTTTATTTTCATTGAAAAAATTTTTATCACTGAACACCATGATCATGATGGTAGAGCTTGATGATACAGAAGATTATACTATAATGATATGAAAATATACTATAATGGTAACAAAAACATATTGTATATTGTTGGTCTTATGGTGGTAGAAGAATATTAACCACTATCTACCACTATTGGTAGAACAATAATTGATCATTTTTTTAAGAGTATATAGAGGATTGACATCATTTTGTAGCTCACAAATAGAGGACACCATGATTTAAGTTATGGGAGAAAATGCTAGGGGACACTATGCTTAAACTTATATATAGATAAAAAAAATATTTATAAGTTTATTATCGCCAAGTTCCTATTTGTAAGGCGTTAAATAGAAGTTCAGTTGGTTTTTTCTCCCTTTCTCAAATATATTCCACAAGAGAGGAAAACAAGATAAAAAAACATATACAATATTTTTTAGACCAAAGCATAAAATCGAAAAGAAAATAGAGATATGGAAACTATGTCTTTGATAAAATTTAAGAAAACTTAGGTTCGTTTGGATAAATTAATTGTCAATGTGGTATTTGTAGAGTCAAAGAACTCATTGTTCATGTGGTATTTCGATGTTATAGTGGTAATTGGATTAAAGTATGTAGTTTGGTTGAACGATACACATGTAGTATTTGGCATGTGGTATATGGAAAAAGGAGAGAAGCAAAATGAGTTATTTCGAAATAACTAGGGGTATGAGTTATTTCAAATAACCCATTGAGTTATTTGTAATTAATTCACAACCCAAATAACTCATTAGAGTAAAATCCTTCCAAAGCGGGTTATTTTTGTCCAAATAACTCACTCAATTACCTCATCCAAGCGGGTTAATGTTCATCCTGATGTGCAAACAGGTCCATTTGACACATCTTTGCTCTACGGATGATGTCATTGTTTTCACTAATGGGTCTAACATGGGTTTGCATTGTGTGAAACAAGTGCTCGATCGGTTTAAGGTGTTGTCTGGTCTTGGTTTTAACCCGGGTAAATGTGAGCTTTTCAGTACGGGTATGTCACCGGAACAAATGCAAGGCTGCTTGGTGAGGGTTTACATTGGGGAAGCTTCTTGTGCGTTACCTAGGTGTTCCCCTTGCAGCTGGAAAACTTTCTATTACTGCTTGTCGTCCTCTTATTCACAAAATAGTTGCCAGAATCACAAACTGGAAAGCCAAGTCTCTGAGTTACGCTGGTAGAGTGGAACTGGTATCCTTTGTTCTATATAGTTTAACGCAATATTGGATGTCAATATTTTTGCTAAAGGGGTGATTGGTGAGGTGGAATGGCTCTGCAGTAATTTCTTGTGGGGATTTGTTCTCTAAATGTGGCATGTTGACCTATCCTAAATCTGAAGGTGGGCTAGGTATTAGGGATTTGTGTTCTTGGAATGTGGCATGTATAGCTCGACATATATAGGCTATTCTTATGCAACATGGCTCTCTTTGGATTGCTTAGCTTCGAAAATATAAGCTCAAGAACTGCACTCTCTGACAGTTCGAGGGAAAATCTGGCTCTCTTTGGGCACCTCTCTTTCCTCTTCTTCTGTCCTTTGTCTTCTTAATTACCTCTAGTTGAACTCTCCTTTCTCTACTCTTCGGCTGTCTATATCTGGTTTAAAGAGGTAAAACAGACAAAACTTGTGTCGGCTGTCTATATCTGGTTTCGATCCAATTTCTTTTCCTCAAGATTTGTTCTCTAAATCCCAATTCCTTTGTTTAGTTTTTTCACCCACGACAGATTAATGGGATATGAGGATGGATTTGTTTTCTTTTGCTAATGAATTTTTGTTCCTATCCGTCGGCCACCAGTCCTTTACCGTATTTGGTCGTCGAGTAAAGTAGTTTAGCCTACTTGGTGACAGAGAAATTGGGGCAGGCGACTGAGAGAGTGACGTCGGAGGTGAGAGGCGATGCGAGTTGGATGCGGGAGAATAAGCTCGTGACGAACACGAGCCGAACTCAAACTTGAATATATATTGACGAGTCGAGCTCTAACTATGGCAAAGTTTGGCTCGACTAGACTCATTAACAGCGGGCAACTAATGTTCGACTTGAAATCTCCACACCAGCAACTCTCTCGCTGTAATTAGGTATCCTGAGCTCTTGATTCAATAGCTACCTGGTCAGGTTCCCCGTAACTAACCCCAAAAGACACTATTAGTGTACAACAGGTTCTTACTATAAAGAGAACAATACAAAATAACGTTAGCACTGCTACAAGAAAATGGGTATTTTTTCAACAGTAAACACCTCACTTTCTGGCTAAGTTGTCCCTAATGCGCTACAACATAATATAATGTTAAAAATTAGCGTGACAAAAAGATAACACATTAAGCAAATAGAGCCCTACGCGAATGATGGCTGCCTGTCAAGGTGGGGAAACATATAGCTTCTTGCTACAAGTGCACTCTTCAAGAGATGGGCTGCGAGCAGCAGGTTTGCTAGAACAAATGAGTGCCTTTGGAAGGTGGGGCGTAGGAAGGAGAAATCATTCACCTCTTTCCACGACCCGGCATGCCAGACCTGGGACCAGGATAGCGAGAAAACTGTAGCCTCAAGTAGTTCGACTCCAGGTCATGCTCATCCATCTTGTATCCTGCACATTCCGGTCCGTTACCATTAGTAACCCGAGAGAGATTTGAGATAAGGCACAATCAAATGCAATTTCAAGGTGAAGGTAGATTATTACCTTGCAAAGCACTCATTGCAGTAGCAGCACATGCAGGATCCATAAAATCAACAAAGCAAAGAATGATTGGGTCTCCACGCTGCATTTGGTGATGTACAAAAAAAAGCATCAATGACAATCAAGTTCCCAACATAGATCATCAAAAACATCAAGGGTATGATGACAGAAGTCGTAAGATTCATATACTCACATGCTTAGATTCCTTGCTAACCAGTCTCAGGTCTTTGTATCCCACAAAAGGGCGAAAGATGTCTAAAGATAGAAGTGAAAGAAAGCAAACAAATAGTAGTAGTCAAATGAAGCAAGTAGTAGAAGCATCGGTCTGTTTTAAAAACAATGTGTTGAATTTTAGAATAGATGAAATGATCAAAGTATGGTAGTTGGAGGCACAGTATAGAAGAAAGAAGAGGGAAAGTCTAGCATGTAAAATAATATTTGCATTAGAAGGATACGAGCTACTTCTCTCCTTGTACAATCTGGAGGAAGTCCTTCCACATAGAGAGTGTTTGAAGCATCGGGAGGAAGTGGTACTGTATCACGACCAGGTCGCGGTAATGAACTTGCTCCTCCTGATGGCGGACCACCATAACCATTGGTTGTCATATCTGGAGCTGTTGCTCTAGGACGGTCCATTACAGCAGAATCTACCATTGGGAGACTTGACATTCCGCCACCTCCACCAAATGCATTGGCTTCTCTAGCAGCAGTAGGAAGACCTTGCTTCAAAAGGAATTCAGATGAGTTTTTTAGTAACAAATCATGCATATGTATGATGGGTAAAGAAGGCAAAGGTAGGAGTGTAAGAGTATCACATTTTGAAGATAGCGTTCATATGCCGATACAATCGTCTTTGTGTCTTTCACAGGCTGATACCCGGTCCCACCATCTCTTGCAGTTCCATAGTAACTATTCATATCGTAGCCTGCAGGAACACCAGAATTCTGCATATCTGCTAAAATTGTTGGTACCGCTGTCAGAGGGGAAGTCATTTGATAGTCGTAATCATCATGGTTGCGTCACTTAGGCAACACGTTCATGCTTTTACAACATTGGAGTGGAATAAAACAATTGCTAATGAAAACTAGTAAAAGACGACTAAGAACGTTAAAGCCACCATTAAGTGATACATAGCTTATGAATACAAAGACACTCATACTTGAGGTTCAAATTCCCCAGATTCACTTACATGACAACCACAAAACAATGAACCAAAAGATTAAAGAAGATACAACCTAAATCACATTATGGATTACGAAGAAAGACAACAGGAAAGTCCATAAACATCATCATTTGGTTCAATAAAGTACCAAGTGCCCTACTCTGCAGCAAAGATAGCAGTGAAAACAATTTTCAATAAATGAAATTGGAAGAAGCTTTTTTGTTTTTTCCTAGTGACACCAACGAATAGATGATGAAACAACAACTAAACAAGTATGATATGTTTCCTAGTTCCCAGAGGAAGCAACTAAGACAGTTAACTAGCTCAATGATACCAAGCTAGCTAGCTGACTAATTAACTACCATAATGTAAATCAACAAATTCCAACACTGGGTGCAGCCTAACTAAGATAGGCTAGCTGCATATACTTCTGAGCTTAGCATTTCCTGCTCCCACTTCTTATCAATACACTATAGTAAGAAAAAGTAGTCTGATTGATCACAAAAGTCATTAAATAAGTATCTCAATCAAGTTCTACCAGGATAGAAGATTGCTCTAAAAGGAATTCACTATCATATAAGCAACAGTAAATTTGTCTATGGAACCCAGCTGTACACCAAAGTCATACCCAAGCAGTTCAATAAAATTTGAAGAGAAAATATTCCACAGCAACCTATCCTCGTTTCTCAAGAACTACAATCGCACACCTAAAGTCCATCTCACTGTCCATTGGATAAAACTACACACTGTATACTCCAAGAAGAAATGGGGAACAAGATACCATACCAAAAGTCAAATATTTCATAAAGTTGGAGATAGTATACTACAGCATTTCACCTATACAAACCAGGATCAGCATATAGCTCCATTACAAGTCAAAAACTGAACTAAGAGCATTCCCTATTATCCGAAGCTCCAAATGCAACAATTAAGGCTTCGTCTTAATGAAAACAACACCATCTGATTCAGGGTTCACTTCACTCCACACATCCTCTTTCTGCTTCTATCTATTCTATCCTACCCCATCTTCAAAAAACAGAAAATGGTTTGAACCAATAAGAAGCAGCCTCAGTTCATTTATTCATTTCTCGTCTAATTCTTCAGTCACCAAGTCAAGTCTTTTCAAAACTCAAATCTTAAAATACTATCAGAGATCAAGGTTAAACTAAACCCCTGAGCTCCGAGCCACGGACAACATCGACCGAAATTGAACTAGCTTGATTCCCCGAAAGAAGTAGAGAACAGACACAGAAAGGCCGAGAATTTCAAGTAATAGGAGGGAGAGAAAATGAACAACGCACCGTACTCAGTGCGAGGCCGCTTCAGCATGCCGCCGGCGGGGAGAAGAGAAGGTTGTTGCTGCCGGTTCCAGTAGCCGTCGGACATTGTTTTCCTTCTCACCTGATACAAGAAACCAGAAATTTGCACTCCACGGGGGGAGATTCGAGAGGGAATAAATCAAGCTTTCTCCGAGAGAGAGATCAAAACTGAACCACGAACCCTAACTTCAGAGGAGATGACAATTGGAGGGAGCGAGCTTCGGGTACATGATATGAATGCCAATTTCTGGGAAAAAGGAGTAGACGTTTTTCTTATAAATTTCCCCCTTTTTTTCCGCCTTTTCAGTTTCATTAATGTTTGGTCAAGCCCAAGAATTGTGTTGCAGCGCGGTGGGCTATCTCCTAACGGCCCTACACTTTTGTAGACGGGTTATTCAGTATGAATTGGGCTCAAGCCCAAGAACTATTAGTTAGTTCACCGTAAACCCAAGAAAGGCTAAGCAACTTTTTGGTTTGGTTAACCAAACCATAAAGTAAGCAAAAACCCAAAATAGACAAATTCCCATAAACCAAAATCAAAACCGTTTAGATTCTTCTTGGTTATTGCATAACCAAAAACTGATAAAACTCTTGGCGATTTTTGGTTTGGTTTGGATAAACAAAAACCCCAACCCTTAGTTTGGGAAGTCCATTAATGGAGTTAAAAAGAGACAACAAAAAAAAACATGAAGATAGAGAAGAAGTCTAGCACACATAATTTGGTGACAACACTTCTTGTTGATGGGTGTTACTTAGTTAGGATGTTAACAATTTCTTATCGGTTTTTCATTGCTAACCGAAACAAAAACCAGTAAGATGGTAAACGGTTTAAAATCACAAACTAAGAACCGGAAGAAGAAAAAAAACCAAGCGGACAATTAGCTTCTACCGTACCCTTTCATCAAGGAGCCCAGGTTGAACTACTCGTGATCGGGTCAAGATACATCTGAATCAATCACATGTGTATTATTATTATTATCATTGTGATCAAAGAAGTATGTACACATGCACAGTGACAAATCTAAGGATGCAGATCTAGTTATGAAATGGTGCATAATCAATCTTTTAACCCAGACAGGTCCCATATTTGCTCAATCATAGAATAGGATATAGGGCTTTTCCATACCCTGGTGCATGCATGCATGTACAAAGATGGATCATTAAATGGTGGGAGACAAGGCTGAAAGGCATCATATGAAATGAGTGACCATATTAATTTAGGTCTCTGGCCCCTCCATGTTTTAGTGAAGTTTGGAAAGCACACACAAACTAGCTAGCGCCAGCTTTGTTTGTTCGTTTTCCTCGGGCGAAAATGGATCGAATGTCAGGAACCATGGAACACCATGCTTAGATCTTCTATAAAGAAAAGGGCCCCGATCCCCACCACTATAGCAAAACAATGCCTTTCTCTTGATCATATTACTGCTAACTGGTTTGATTACTGTATGTACTCATTGTTGTCGTAAGTGTTCATCCTGAGAGGATGAGATATGAATCAACGCAGTAATCAATGTTGTATTCAGGGTGGTTTGGATGAGGCCGTTGGTCCGATTGTCTCAGCAGAATGAATGAAGTATTCGAATCAAATTGTATAGATTGAACAATGCGATAATTGCGCCGTGATTAATTTGAATGGTTTCGTTTTTGCGTCAATTTGAATTGACAGAGGGAGGGCTCGGTATTTCTAAATGATGCATCGTTTGCTTGGATGATGGAATTCATGAAATGACACAATTGGACCAAATTGATTCAGAATTGTTCATCTCACAATTGATGCATCATTTTTAAAATATTTATTGATCATCCCCTTTCAATTCAAACTAATGCAAAAAAGAAAACAATCTGACTTGCTTTTGCCCTTTCGTATTGTCAGACGAGACAATTTCATCCAATTGCTTTCTTCTAAAACAATTGGATCAAATTGCAACGTTCAATTTAATTATTCACTGTAATGTTGTTTATGACTTTATCTTGAACCAATTATCATATATAATGATTTTTTTTTTTTTGGGTCCAACTCGTACTAAAAATTCTTATACAAGTACCAAGATTGTATATAGAAATTCACGATAAAACACCTCAGTAGACACTTATGGTAATCAATTAAAGCAGTAGAAAATTTCAGTTTTTTTTTTTATAGCTTTTTTATTGGAGTCGTGCATTCCTATGACTTCTTCTTGGTTCCATAAAACATCACAAGCACATGTAAAATATAGTTTACATCCCACACATATTTAATTATTTGATTAATATATAGATTGTAAATCTCTCGTCCATCCAATCCCAAATCGCAATCTGGGAATGGTGGTCGGCTCGAACGTAAGAATATGAGGACAGCCACGGCTTAGTTGCTCACTTGCCAACCTACCAAATCTAACATAGTAACACGTACTCACCTTAGAATCCACGAACAAATTCCTTGTATATATATATTTTCACTAACTTTCATGCATAGAAAGCAGAACAAAAAAAGGTGAAGAAATGAAAAATCATACAATATCTCTTATTGGTTTTTGTTTTGTTTTTTTTTTTTGGGTGTCTTGGTTATTTACAAATGATGACTAGATGTTGATAATCGAATCATAGTAACACGTTTTAATAGGTGTTGTCAACCAATAATTTAATAAATTAAACTAATCCATGCTTTTGCTTAAGATGGTTGGAGTAGCACTGAATGAGACATAGTAACACGTTTTCTTAACAAGTTACCAAGGAAAAATACATTATATAATGTACACGTATTAAAACATTTTTGTCTGTTGAATCTAAATTATCCCCATTAGAGAGCTTTGCCACTACTATTAGGCTAGCTACACTACATCGACTCAAGGGCAACAACTAATTCATCGTATAGCATTGTATCACATTCTCGCTTCCAATTCCAACATCCACACTATGTTTGGAGACTCTGTCTAATGTAGCACGAAGATTTGCATTCTCAAGCTGCGAATTCGCAACCATTTCACCAACTCTTTTCATCTCTTTGTATAACACTACTGCTCTAATGTCGTGTCATTCAAAATAATCACAAGGTTTCTTCTCCTGTGTCATCGGAACATTGACGTCACTAGCTCAAACAAGACAAACTAATTCACTTAACAAACAAAGATTTCAACAAAATTACCAAAACTCAAACCTTAGAGCCAAACAATAGACAACCGAAAAATTTTCGATTTGGGTTGCCAACAGTATGTGAAATTCTTCGAGAAGCTCTTAACCCGCAATCGCATAATACCTCTGGATTTTCGTAGTAGAATTCATCAATCCTTTTCTGCCCCTTTTCCCCTATTGGCCATGATAGTCTCTCTCGGATTAATAAACACAAACATAGAGTTTTGTAACTAAATGTTGGAAATCTTCTAAACCTACACATCACAAATGATACGGCTAACTAGTACCTGACTAACGAATGTTGTCCTTAAAAGCTTATTATGAAGTTGAGTTGAAAATTAGTAGTGCCTGTTATTTCTTTTGACGAGCCAATCTTGAGCTTGAATTTATAGCTTTTACAAAGCTCGAGATGATATATTCTGTGTCGAGCTCGAGCTTGAGCTAGACAAAAAAATTGGCTTAGCTCGGCTCGTTTACAGCCCTAATGTTGATCCTAGATTCTTAGTGAGACAGTTCCAACAGAAGTTGGATAATTTGGGGAGACCTCGAATAAGAATGAAGAAGGCTGCGAATGAGGGGTAAACATTGAAAAACAATAATAAGAATGAGAGATTTCAAAATATTTTATGCTCATCAACTATTTCAAAACCTCACGATAGAGTTTTTAAAATTTATAATCTCCAAATTCCTCTTCTTTTCCAAACGCATGATTATGTTGACATTCGAGAGGATAAGAGATTTGAGCAAAATCACTCGTCCAAAACTCTCATCCAAACGATCCATAAAACAAGAAATTTTGTTCATTTCAGTATTTCACCTCTAGAAGGCCAAAATTCCCAAGACCCGTAGCATTATCACTTATCAGGCAGTAGAGGTGCTAATTGGTTCGTGTCGGTTAGCCACTAACCGATATGGCGATTAGCAGTTAATCAATAAGCAAGAAACTCATACCGATAACTTAATAATGTAGAAGATTAACCAATAAACTTTATCGGCTAATCTTCTCTTATAAGTTCGGTTAGTGGTTAATTTAGCGGTTAACCAATAAGAGCTAAAATACATTATAACAACGTACCAATATACCTAACCAAATCAACATGCAATAACTTCTATTTTCTTTCACGAAATATAATAAGGCTAAGCAATAACAACTTGTAATACATAAATCATCAACCAATTAAGTTTAACAAGTGACATTTAACGAGTTCATTTAATCCTAACCACTTGTAAAACAATTTAACTACAGTTCTACATTATTAACATAAAATACTAATGATAAGAAATAATATCAATACAACATCGATCCATTGTGAAATCATAATCCAAATCTAAATTCATATTCAAACACATAAAATTAAAATAATCAAATATCTTCATCTAATTAGTGAATACAAACTACCAATATATCATACACTAGTACCACAAGATCATCATCATCCACAAATATCAAAGAAACTAAGACTATTAGGGTGCAACTTCGCTATGTCGATTGCAAAGGGGAGTAAGAAAGGATGACTTTTGGGTTCTGACTTTTAAACACATTTAAGACTTTGGTGGAGGGTTGTTTGCAATAAGTGAAAATTGAGATGTCTGGAATTGTGAATTTGTTGGTTTTGAACTTTGAGACTTTTTTCCTTAGACAAAAGACCAAAACTATATGATTATACTAGCATATAGTTATCGATTTTCTCATCTATTAACCACTAATCAACCACTAATCGATTAATCAGTTAGTGGTTAACCATTAAGCAAAATACAACTAACTAAAATCAAACCATTATGAAAATAACGGTTTATCGATTAACTATTAAGCGCCCTTATCAATTCGATAAAGTCATAACCGACTAATCATTTAGCACCCTATGACAGGCAGCCGTACACAAAGCACAAATGTATATTTATATTTTCTGCTTTTTAAACCTTTGGAATTTTAATTTGTACTTAAATAATTAAAATAGTATTACTAAATTGAAGAAAAAAAATTAAAATAGTATTAAGTTTCGCATCTCTCTCTTTCTTTTTCCTTTTGTTTTCTCTTCTTTGACGCTCTCCAGTTTTTTCCTTTTCCTTTCTCCTCTCACAATCGAGAGAGTCGCTGCCCCAGCCTGCCTGCCACCTCCTCCTCCTCTCTCTCTCTCTACTTAGTTCCTCATTTGTCCTCGGTTTCCGTTCCATCCTCCTCCGCCGCGGTCACGGCGGTCGTCGGTCCTC